TGCTGCCATTTTAACACTTTACAGTCAGCATCTCATATTCATAATAACTGAAATGCCTGATCAGAATATCTCATTTTAAAGTCTAAACCCATCTTACAGCTCTCAATCCTGTACTAAAAAGGTCAGTTTGAAAAAAAGAAATTTAAAAAAAGTACCGGTAGACAGATTTGGAGGCAATGGCTATGTACAAACTGTACATTTATGTACATCACATACTACAGGTGTCCTACAGTAGATTAAGTTTTATGAAACCCTAAAGACAACCCCTCCTTATTGTAAATGGAACACAGAGCACCTACAGTATAAGTTTTTAAAAGCAGTTAGTCACTGCGTAATGCCTGAAATAACAAAACATATATTATTAGTCAAGTTTTCAACATGAAATAATAACATCTAAATGTTAGCACTTCTCGTGAGCATCCAAGTGAAATGGAAGCCACGTTCAGATTTGTTCAGATGTGCCACAATGATGAATTTCAAGGGTTCACAAGTCTATGGAGGTGTCACCAGGAAACGTTCACACGCGGCTACAGTGTAGGTGTGAATGCCTCTTTAAGTTGTCTACTACACCTTGTCAAGGGTTACTCTCGGCTGAGAGGCGACTGAAGCTCTAGTCTCCATGTGCAGACACTTTTCAGATTTCAATAGCTATTGAATACATCCTTGGGTTTGATATTGCTATACATTTCTTTGAAGTTGCTTCACATAATAATAATAATAATAATAATAACTATTTCTTATATGGCGCTTTTTCAGGAGGGCCCTATCAAAGCGCCTTACAGATATACTATTACCCCGGTCATCGGATTCAAGGCTTACCCGCACACAATGTATGCACATTCTCCACTTCCTGGGGAGCATTCCATGTACAGTGTTTCTCACTTTGTTGGAAAACTTTTAACTGTGTGTTTACTGTTCAGGTGATTCAAAAGCAAGTTGAAATGCTCTTTGACAGAACTTCAGTTAAACGGTATGATACATGTCAATATTTTTCAGTGTTACCCATCTACAGTTTGTGATCTATTCATCGATGTATCACTTCACTCAATCTAAACTGCAAAGAATGGTAGCACATTGCAGAACATGACATTCAAACAGGTGTGTCTCAGAGCAACTGACCGTCTAACGTCATTTCAAATCTTACCAATTACCGGTATTTAATTTGGAGGTGTAGTGGCTGACTTCCTGAAATTGACACCATTCTCAAGAATGTCCAGGAAGGTTCTGGTACCTTGCAAAGCATTTGTGAAGTTTTGCATGTGTACTGAATTTACAAATTTTCTCATATATGATATTGATATTCTATCAAATCAACCTGCATATATGCCCAAACTGTGTAAATATTTACTCCCAAAATCCATAGATTACAGTATATCAATATGTTATTGGGTTTCAGATATTTCCCACCTCTGAAATAAGATGTAACTCTTTCCAACAAGAGACAGCAACTTGTTGTAATTCTCTATTAAATCACGGTGGATGAGTCCAATGGAAGGAGAGTGGCCAAGCACGGAGATAAAATCAATATACAGTCAGTGTACATGTACATGTTAAGATGTTCTGTTTTTTTTAATCAATTTCGTAGTTTTTGACCGACCAAGAAATTATCAATTTGCTGCAAATTCTTGACAACAACTGCTGTGAGAACTACAACTTTGAATACATGTCTGTGAGAGCAAAACTAGTAATTTGCAGCAGTCCAGAGGACTCCAGACACACAAGGCATGTCCTTATTAGCTGGAGATTGCCAAATATCTTGCTATTTGAATTATCTTGATTGCATATTATCCAGTTAATTTGCATCTTCAGTTGCAATTAGCGAGATATTTGGTTGAGATAATCATCCCAAGATATCTTGGGCTAGTTTGCAAAATATCCCGCTATTTGCCCAAAGACTCGCACTATGCGATAACGTTGAGCAAAATATATTGAGCTAATTACTTAAGCTTGAGTTTCAAGTTCGAGGTCAAGTCTCGAGCTGATGAAGACACTATTTTTATTTCTGGCTTATTTCCCATATCAGAAGTAGCAGGCTATTTGGCGATCTCGAGCTGATGAGGAAAGGCCTATTCATGAATGAGCGATTATCCGAAGATCAAAAAAGAGATTGAGGGAAGGAGTCTCAACTGGAATATGGTAGGGTACCGGCAGTCATTGAACATGGGCCGGCCGGAGCAAGCAGCTCAGCTGAGATAGCAATCGGGCGACCCAGTTATGACAAGTCTTCAACAAAAGATAGCCCCCAAGTCATACATCCTGAGGACGTGGAGGAAATCTCACTTCGTTTGGTCTGCTTGATTAACTCGGGATTGCATTCGATGCACGTATTCAAATCCCCCCACCGATCATGAATGCCCAAATATCTTGTTTGCTACTTCGCATTATAAGGGGAATATGAAAATCAGGGGCTTAGTAATATTGCAGGCTGTTGTAAGACAGGAATTGTATGCTGACTGAGATCGAGCAGTACACTTTGTCACCAAGGAGGTGTTAGACCCATATGTTCACAAATCTTGTCATGATTATTTGGACTGGTTAAAAGTAGATTTGAGGATGTGCCTTGAATGCAGATCTTAGGATGTGATTTAAATGGAATCTATTTCTTGTATCTGTAATGTCATTTTCCATATCATACCAATTATTTTTGACTTAGTTTTGTTATTCAAACATATTAAGACTGGAACAGATTGCATATTTCAGCAAAGTCAACAATAAACTGGACTTTATTCAAGCTTACAATGCTTTTACAGTGCTGTAAAATGTAAAGCACTAAGGTATCATAATTCCTCAATCTTGACAGAAACAGAATTGTGGTTGTGTAAAACATACAGGTACATTTAGTTCATTATATTTGAATATACATGTATACACTCTGAACGTACATTAACATTTGAAACATGAAACTTTGAAACAGAGAATGAATTGTCTTTAAAAAATTGTACACTGCTGTACATTTTGGTACAATACATGTACAGTGTAGATCAATGACCACACTTTGAGAAAGTTTCCTCCACAATGGCATTTTAGTTTTGTCCAATTTTTGAAAACCCCTATGCTTTGATTGATATCTTTTCTTTCAACTTGCATCAATGTACAATGTAGGCAAGTGCTATTGAAGGGGAGCCAGAACTAGAACATCATGATAGAGGTGTTGTGGTCGAGTGGATACGTCGCCGGACTGTCGATCACAAGGTCCGCGGTTCGAGTCCCGCCGCTGCACTAATGTCCTTTGGCAAGACATTGATCTACATTTGCCACACTCCACCCAGGTGAAGTAAATGGGTACCTGGTAGGAATTTATTCTTTGAAACGCAGCGCGCGTAACAGCTGCACTGCTAAAGCCAGGGTAATTATGCTGCATTATTGTAGAGCGCTTAGAGACTTCTGACAAAGTAAGTGTTAGGCACTATATAAGCACTGTAATTATTATTATATTCATGACAATCTTTGATGCAGATATTTCAAACTTTCATTTCCTAGATAGCGCTTAGAGACTTCGGTGGTAAGCGCTTTATAAGTAACGTTTCTATTACTATTACTATTATTATTATTATTATAAAAAGAAATGAGAAAAATGTATGGGAGAGGACTATTATTCCGGTCTTGGAAACTAAAAAACATTTAAAAAATAATAGAATTTATAAGAAAAAAACAAAGATACATGTAATGTTCTCAAAAGAAAAAAGAAAAATCGCCGAGATAATTTCACTTTTACAAATTTATAGCAAATCAAGAGGAACTCCTGTCAAAAAAAGCAACATAAGTCAATTTTTGCTCTGAAAGAGAAAAAATTGGCATCATCATCATTCACGAAGGCTACAAATTACTACTCAAATTGTCAGCAGATGTTCAAGATGATGTGATGATACTCATGATTCACAAGAGATGTTATAAATAGTTAAACCCCCTCCTTTTCTCTCTCTTTCTCTCTCTCTTTCTCTCTCTTCTTCTCTCTCTCTCTCACTCTCTCCATGTTTCTCTTGAAAATAATAAATAAAAATAGAGGTACATACATGTATGTACCTGCAATGTTAAAAATGGTGTGTGAGTCAGTTGAAATGGGGAAAGAGAGCAGTGTCACTTCATTATTTGACCATCTGCCATTCAGCTGCCAATTGGAGCAGCACATTCCACAGTATTTAAAAGTGTCATCTTGTTTTCATTCTTCTTGAAAGAAATCTTGGAGTTATTTTGAATTGAAGTATTTTGTCAAATCACTGAGCTCTGTCTTTCCAATAGAGGTGCAACAACTATTTCTAATTTGATTTTTTTGTAATCTTTTCTTTCTATCTTTTCTGTACTCTGCACCAAAGAGGGCATGCTACATATGTAATCAATCTTCTCACATTTTACACAAAAATATATCTTACAAACATTCATATTGTAAACTTGATCAGATATTCTATACCTGTATTATTTTCTTGCATTACACTGTAGTCTGTACCTTTATTTGGCCATACAAGACTTTGGATTGCTTTCAAGAATTAATAATGGAATCTCTTGTTTTTACCCCTTTGATCAAATTTTTCACTCCTTTGATCAAGTTTTTCAATGGGATAACCTGGAAGTCAAAAGGTTGGCAGACTAAAAACAAAACATATCCAGTATCCTGAGAATTCTCATTTTAAAAATTTAAAACAATTGTAAGATAATAAATTGAGAGAAGCATGTCATATTTTGTAAATGCATACATACATGTACATACTACATGTAGTGTACATTCCAGTACTTGCAGGCATGGTATTAACATCTGGTTGTAGAAATCATTTTTTGTTTCTTGAATGAGTATTAATATTAGTCATAATTTAACATAAAAGGTGTACATATGATATTGTAATTTATATTTCTACACTTTACATGTACATGGAATGTGAGAAGAACATGTTAATCAGATAAAAATAATGCATTTCCTAGCAAATCATTATGAAGTGGTACTTTATTCCGTGATGAAAAATTGGCTTTCTTTTTCTTTCTTTAAATCAAGTTTATTTAAATCTTACCTTGTTCATCATGAATATCTTGCACTCGGAACTCTAGGAATAGCACTGCTAAAATGAAGATAAAAACCAAAATAAAAAATCCACTCCTGTAGTGCATCAAGGCTCGTAAAGGGATCATCATCATGGTTGATTGTATCAAAAGATGGATCTTCAGCAAAACTCTGGGTGTATAACCTTTGTCTTTACTTCAGATTCTGTTGTTAATTCTCCCCTCCACTTCAATTTCAGCAAGAACACTCACTGACAGTCAAGGCCAGGTTAATCATGTTGAAGCAATAAACAAATAAAATAAAACTAAAAGAATGAAACTGGTATTGTCAGTAGCTAAGTTCAAAACTGACTGAAGGATGCCTTCATGCGGAACGAGAAATACATGTACATGACATAAACTTGAAGTCGAAGTTCAGAAAAAAAACTATTGACAACATGTACCAAGTACTATAGAGTCTAGACGATATAGTTTACTGTCCAGTGCAATACAGCTCCAGCAATAATAAAGTCAATGTCAATGATGATGTCTGACTCTGACGGACTGACACTTCACTCCTTCAATTCAAAGTAAATTATGGAAAAAGCGTAGAAATTCTGCTTTAATATACAGCAATAATGCCTCTTTTAATGGCAAGAACCTTTGAGGTTGGTGATGAAATCATTAACACCGAGTGCATCGCCGATTTATGAGCATCTCAATTCAACTTCAACCAGGCATGTATACGGAATTACGAACACGAAGCACGTCCACCAGCGCATCCGTTCTGATGATTGAGCTGCCAGCTCGCCGGGAGCCAAGGCGCGCTTCACGGTCCTCGATCCGTTGAGATGAATGAGTGAACTACCGCTCAACGACAGGTGTAACGTTAGATTTTCAGCACAAACACCATCTTTCGAAATAAATGTCAGGGCATCGGTTCAGTGTGGGATACAACCAAGATGAATTAGGTTCTCTTTCCCAGGATTAGTATCATCTCGCTGAGAATACTTAGAAGGAACGTGTTTAGCGTTTTGACCCTAACCCAACGTACGCGACAACCAGATGCTAGTGATTGTACGTTTCGGACAGATAGATACCAACTTCCAGCATCACAACTCTTGTTATCAGTGAGTGATGTTGAAGTTTGCACTGAAGTTTGCAGATCATTTTTTCTTCAGAAGACGGCGCGGCGTGCGTCACGCTCGAACGATCATCTGAAGTAATGGACTATTTTGTTCATCATGATCACTATGGTACTATTATACAGGCGCGGATCCAGGGGGGGGGGGGCCGAGCGGGCCTTGGCCCCACCCCCCCCCCCGCAAAAAAAAAAAAGAGAGAGAGAGAAGGAAGAAGTGAAAGGGAAAGAGGAGAGAAAGGGAAAAAAGAAGAGGAAGAAGAAAAGAAAAGAGGGAAGAAGTAGATCGGGGGGGGGGGGGGCAAAAGGACTTGCCTCCCAGGCTGTTGCCCCCCCCCCCAATCAAAAAATAAAAGAGAAGCAAGGAAAGGGAAAGAAAAAAAGAAAAAGAGGAGATACAAGAAAGGAAAAAAGAGGAAGAAGAAAAGAAAAAAAGGGGATAACCACACAACAAATCGTCTTCTTTCTCTAATGATTTAATGAAACGTAAGCTTCCGCTTAGCGCGGGAGGAAGAAAACTCAATTCAGACGAGGATTATTTTTTGGGAACGGTACAGCAAATCGTCTTCTTTCTCTAATAATTTATTGAAATGTCAAAGCTTCCGCGTTTCGCGGAGGAGGGAGGGGGAAATCGCCCCTCCCTGCACCCACCCACCCACCCCCAATTACGTCACTGCTGGTCACCATTACGAACCAATATTTGGCTCGCATAATTTCAAATTTTGCCCCCCCCCCTAAGAAATCCTGGATCCGCGCCTGATGTATATAATTATATACAGCGGCAACAGTTTTAATATAAAATGTAAGTTCTTCTTACTTAAATCATTTAGTAGAGTCAAAGTGTGTAGACCCCGCTGATATTTTTCGGGGACAAAGGTTTTTAAGTGTTTTTGAGTTGTTTGGAGGTCAATGATTAAAATTAGCTTGGGTAGTCCCCTCCTAACCCCCGGCAACTCTTGTAGGGGTCAAAATAAGGTCAAAATGGGGTCAATAGGGGGTCAATTTTTTTTAATGCCCTGATTATGTTAAAAGACATGTCAAATTGTTTGTCTCGTCATACTGAACAAAAAAGTGTACATGATCATATACCCCTGACCTCCCGTTAAGAAGTTATGGCCGGAAAAGTCAAAAGGTCAACGAACTTTCATTTGAGGGCAAAATACACTAAAAGTGTTAGGATCGATCAATTTTCATGTTTTTTGTGTCTATTTATATGTATTTTGATTTTGAAATTTGAATGAGACAATTTCTACTTAAGAACACCGTATTCAAAAGATATAAGGGGTCAAAATAAGGTCATTTGGGGTCAAATGAGCTCCTTTGGGATCAAAATACACTAACAGACTTAGGAGTTATTTGTGTCAAATTATGTGTAAATTGATGAATAATAGTGAATGAATTTTTTTATTTTTTTTAAATTTAGAAAACCATATTCAATTGATGTAAGGAGTCATTATAAGGCCAAAATGGGGTCATTTGGGGTCAAAAATGTTTAATTGACCTAAATTGTGCTGTAATGCACTCTCACACTGAATGAGAAAGAGCAGTTTCATTCTAGGGTTAAAATACGATAGGAGTGACAACAAAGCCATGTTCATTTTTTTTAAGTGTCACAATGCAGTTTACATGTAATTTAACTGGTGGCCACAATGTCAAATTAGCTTGATTGTTTTTATCTGCCCATCAGTTACATACACAACCCTGCGCTCTCTTACTAGGTATGGTAAATGTCTTAATTTGTTGCAACATACCTTTAAGGACGGATAGATGTGACAAATCAGAGGTTCTACGCATAGTCGGAATCTTCAGAGACAGAGTCTTGATCATTATTATCGATATCCGAATCGGAGTCAGACTGTGGAGATTGGTCATCTGCTGGTATTAGGTTGGTCAAACGTGTAGGCAATGCAGGCTTGGTGTATCGAAGTGGGATGCAGTTGCCATCTTTCATGTGCCATCCATGGTGGAGAGGTGATGGAGGAGCATCTGGACTCCTGAAGTTCAGGAAGATGTATGCCTGATAGTTGGCTCGTCTGACCTTCATCTGATGTGAGTCGCAATCAGGTGGCATTCTCTGTGTTGCTTTTTTCTTCATACTCTCCCACTTCTTTGCTCTTGCCTCTGCTAAACTTGTACTAGTTTTGTCTTTGTAGATGAACTTAATTGTGAATTGCTTAATGTCGATTTGGGTGTCTTCTGATACAGGCAGCTGTTTCCCAAGTCCTAGGAGCAAACTCCTTCCTCCCTCTGACTTCATTGCCGATTCAAAGATGGATGGTTTGCCATGGCCATAGAAGCCAGAGACAGCGTCTGCACCAGTATGAACATGAAAGGGGACAATGACATCTGCCACTTCAGGACTGCAAAGCTTCTTACAGTCATAGACGAAGCCCTTCCTCTTGATGCCTAATGGTCCTTCAATCTGATGGGCTGCGTATGCTGCTAGAACCATAACATCTGTGTCTTCTGCATCGATAACAACAGTGTCTTCCACACCTGACTGTCTTAGTTGGTAATACACATAGAGAAGGATGGTGTCCGCTTCTGTGTGTTGGCATGTGAATTGCTCTAATTCTGTGCCCTTCTGCAGATCTGAGCAACGATCTCTCACTGAGTATATATAAGTCATCTCTGGGTGTTCTAATGACATGATCTTGAACTCTGCATTCAGAAACTGTTGGAGCCGAACTTTGTTGCCTGGATTTTTGAACATATCATTGAACAGCCTGGATGTTGGCAGTGGATCATCTCTTCTCATAAATACATTTCGGCTACCTCCTACATAAGTAACGCCTGTACGCCTCTGATGTTCACTATCCTTGATACTCTCATCTAGGTCATAGGGATCATTCACAAAGAAAATTGTGGTCGCCTTTCTGTGACGACCTGCAACTATGTTGTAAATCTTGTTTGCATAATCGCCCCACGTGTAATCTGTACCATCCTGCTTCTCTCTATCCTCTGCTGATGGAGTACTAAGTCTCCAAATGAATCCCATGTCGACGAGTGCAATGTAGTTGTTAAGCGAGTTTATCTCCTCAAGATTGAGCTTGTCAACCAACTTTGATTTCATCACCTTTCTCAGTGTTCCGTTCACGTTAAAGATAGGTAGACATTCATCTGTAACACGATATTGCATTACATCGCTCAGTCGAAATGTGTCCTCACATTTCTGAGCAAGAGAGATTACCTCTGTCATGGCCTTGTTCTCCATTGCATCAGTCTTTGTAACCCGAGATGTTCCTTTAACAATTGGTGGCTTGGTGAAACTGCAGCGTGAATTCCTGTGCATCGTGTCATCAAAGTTCTTCTCATCGGAAAACATCCTCTCTTTGAAAAATGATTGAACAAGCACTTCACCATCTTTGTGCGCATTCTCAAAGTCAACGACCAGCTGATCGGATGCCATCATACCAGACTGCAGAGACCTCAATGTTGGCTTGGTCTCATCAAACGGGTCACAGTCAAACTCACCCAGGCATTTGTCCAGATCTTGAACCCCTTTCTCATCTCTCTGCAGTCTCTTCTTGCAATTTTCTCTGTGATCCTTGGAAGAGTCTTTGAGGTTTGCCAGTACATGCAAGGAGTTTCTCACTTTGTTGCAAGCATTTGTGGGTTTTGTGTGTGCAAGTAACATCTTTTCGTTCTTCAAGATATGTTTCCATCCTGCTTTCATCTTTGAACCCTTGTTCATGGTCATCTCTATCCATAGATTTAGGGGTAAACAGGAATATGGTTTCCCGGTCATTGATTGGGAGAACAACCCCTCTTTCAAGTAGGTTTCCTTCTCTTCTGGTAGACTTGAGATCTCGAGCCAAAACTCAACCAGCCACTTGCTGTATTTGTCATTATCGTAGATGCGCAACCATGGAAACATCATCCTGAGAGAAGCTTTGAACGAATCCCAGTCTTGTGTCCGCAGAGCATGTATGTTCATGAGCAGTATTTCCACCATGTCCATGAAGCTTAGCCAGAACCTAGCCATTGGAGAATCAGATGCTTCAACGCTTTCAAATGCCTTTGTCACAAAAGATGTCAATTCTTCATTTTCCAGGAGATCTGCAGCTGCTGCTTGCAACTGCGCTTGTGAACATGTAGATGGATTTTTGAGAATCTCAAGGCTGACATTAAGTTCAGGTGACAGATCTACCCCACTGGAAAGTTCATGTCGAATGACTCTGCGTATGAGTACCTCATACATGAGAGTGAGACATCTTATGCTCCTGTTGTAGTGCTTCCCACGAAGTGCCTGGTCAACCGAACCTTCTGCGATGATGTCTGCTGCGACAAGAATGTCAGATAATCCCGAGCCTTGAAAGCGCTTGTTGATTGCTGATATGAATGACAATTGAGTGTGGAATGGACCAAGGACAGGGAGGATAAGCTCAAATTTGGCTTGATTCTCATTCTTTAGTTGTACCATCAATGCATACACAGGTTGGTCACCAACAAACTGAATGAATGGCATTGACTTGGCTACAGCTGCAGAAACCATCCTACACATGACCTCATGAACTACTGATTTCTGAGGTGGCTTTGGAAATGTCAGGAAATAGTGAGCAGAACTCTTTGTAACATTTCCCTGGATTTTCGCCTGGAAGCCAGTGAAACCTCCAACCTTTTGATCAGGAACTTGGATGTTATGTCCTGCATTATTAGTCCGAGCCAATGAATGCACTGCACTCCTCTTTCTTTGCCCACAACTCGTCGGAAGAGATATCAACTTCAGTACGCACTTCTGGCTGACCACGTTTTACTGTTTTGTATGGATGTACTTTGAGCTGTTCAGAAGTTACTTGTTTTCGGTCATCGGACTTGACCAACTGAAGAGGGGAGCATTCGTCTCCTGTGGCTGTGAAGTAATCAGGCTGGACAAACATAACATTAGTTCGATGAGATGTATCTGCCCCAGTAAGTGTGTCATCCTTAGTGTATTTTGATCCCAAAGGAGCTCATTTGACCCCAAATGACCTTATTTTGACCCCTAATATCTTTTGAATACGGTGTTCTTAAGTAGAAATTGTCTCATTCAAATTTCTAAATCAAAATACATATAAATAGACACAAAAAACATGAAAATTGATCGATCCTAACACTTTTAGTGTATTTTGCCCTCAAATGAAAGTTCGTTGACCTTTTGACTTTTCCGGCCATAACTTCTTAACGGGAGGTCAGGGGTATATGATCATGTACACTTTTTTGTTCAGTATGACTAGACAAACAATTTGACATGTCTTTTAACATAATCAGGGCATTTAAAAAAATTGACCCCCTATTGACCCCATTTTGACCTTATTTTGACCCCTACGAGAGTTGCCGGGGGTTAGGAGGGGACTACCCAAGCTAATTTTAATCATTGACCTCCAAACAACTCAAAAACACTTAAAAACCTTTGTCCCCGAAAAATATCAGCGGGGTCTACACACTTTGACTCTACTAATTGGTCTGGAAACAATTATTTGCCCATTGTTGTGTATTGTATTACATTTTCACTGACAATGAATTCACAGTGTAATGCAATTTTCAAGTTTCCCAGGCCTATTTAGGAGAACAGAAGATTGATATTGTTTAGTTGTACGATAACATCACTCAGTTTGATTTGATTTGATTGGAGATATATCTCATTAAAAACAGAGTAAAGGCTATACAGTTTCAAACAAACCTACACCATTAAACTTCAAGCTCACTCACACATGATTTATTGCGACACTTTCAAGGCTACTTATTATTTCAAGTTCATGTATATACAAAGGGCAACAGCTTCAATATTAAACGTAATTAAATAAATCGTCCCCCTCACCACGAACCGTCCTCTCTAGCAAAATTTGCTATTTTTTCATTTTTCATTTTTTTTTCATTTTTTGCATGTACTCATGGTTACCTACATCCTGTAAAAATTTCAGAGCGTGAATATGCTTGGTTACGTAATACCGTAATCATCACAAAGCGTCCGCTCAGCGATTATAGGATTTGTCTGCACCACGAACCGTCCTCTGTTGCGCGCAGTACCAGAGCCTTCCATTCAATTTGTACACGCGCGCAAGTAGAGCGGACGGTTCGTGGTGAATTCGCTTAGCGTGATCGCGCATTTTATCTTTTCCACGAACCGTCCTCTCTGTTTACAAACCAATTGTAGCAAAACTACTCCAACTCAAGAAAATCTAAACACACTGTATAAAACTTTAAGACCTAAGCTCTCAAGTCGTCCCATTGATTTGTAATATAATCTATTCTAAAGTCTAACAATTACCGTTTCAAAAAGTTGTATCTTTTAAACGCGTTTTCTGCAAAACTGACCTTCGCTTGGAAATGCGCGGAGAGGACGGTTTGTGATCCTCTTTAGCAAAATTTGCTGGTTTTTTCATTTTTCATTTTTTAATTTTTTTTGCATGTATTCATGATTACCTACATCCTGTAAAAATTTCAGAGCGTGAATATGCTTGGTTACGTAATACCGTAATCATCACAAAGCGTCCGCTCAGTAATTACAGGATTTGTCTGCACCACGAACCGTCCTCTGTTGCGCGCAGTACCAGAGCCTTCCATTCAATTTGTACACGCGCGCAAGTAGAGCGGACGGTTCGTGGTGAATTCGCTTAGCGTGATCGCGCATTTTATCTTTTCCACGAACCGTCCTCTCTGTTTACAAACCAATTGTAGCAAAACTACTCCAACTCAAGAAAATCTAAACACACTGTATAAAACTTTAAGACCTAAGCTCTCAAGTCGTCCCATTGATTGTTAATATAATCTATTCTAAAGTCTAACAATTACCGTTTCAAAAAGTTCTATCTTTTAAACGCGTTTTCTGCAAAACTGACTTTCGCTTGGAAATACGCGGAGAGGACGGTTCGTGATGCGAGCGACGAAATGTTGTGGAAAATGTTATATACCTCACTTAAAAATCCAGCCATCTGATTGGTCGAAATTGTATTCATAAACTTTAACTATTCCTGTAAAATTCCAGGTAAAATTCCGAACCCATGTAATAGTTCTAAAAAATAGTTCTAAAATCCCAGTTACCATGGTTACCAGGAAAATAGTTCAATCTTGGTGAAATACCCATAGGTTTACATGTTAAAAAATGGTTTGAGCGACTGCGGATACCGTACGTGTGCGAAGAATTGGTCGGTAATTTCAATACAATTGAATCTCGATCGATCTTACCGACAATTTTATCTTGCATTGTTGACATGAAGACGAAAATAAACTTCCAAAAACAACATCTGCCGATAGATCTTGATCTAAGTTCGTGCTAATGCATTGCAAAAGTAAAAGAAGGGCCCGTTAAATGGAGCTGCTGCGAAGCATCCAGCACGCGAAGCCCTTTCCAATCTATTTTAATTTATAAATCAGAGAAAACTGCTTAATATGGTATCAGTGTGCGATGGCCGAGCGGTCTACAGCGATGATTTTAGTCACATCATCGTTATTACGTAAGAGATCGAATCCCATCTTCAACAAAAAAAAAACAAAACAAAACAAAAAATTTCAGTCTACTCTCAAAGATACACTCATAAAAAACAACCGTGCAGATAAACTAGATAAAGGCCAAGGTGGTGTCATAAGTTGACTCTTTTTTTTTGGCATATAAAAGTATTAATGACTGCTATAATATTCGAGAAATAGTTGTTTTTATAGGCTCTCGGGAAGGTTACAATTGGGCTATTGCCCTCGGCACGCCTCAGGCAATAGCACAATTGTAACCTTCCCTTGAGCGTATAAAAACAACTATTTCTCTCAAAGCAGTCATTAATACTATATTAATGCCCATTGTTGTATATTATACAACATTTTCCATAACGATGAATATACATTGTATGATGCCATTTTCAGGAAAACCATACTTGTCATTACTGTTATATTTGTTATATGATACTAAAGCAAATCGTTTCGCTTATCGATAAGATAAATCAATGTGAAGTACGTGTCAAATAATGAAATCATTACGTGCTATTTTTAACCAGACTAGACATTTGAAACGTATAAAAAATGTATACACTATTGACAGCAAGCAAGTTTTTTAAACAAAGAATTCAGAAATTGAACAACATTGCACATTTTAGTCTACACGATATGCTCTACACCCTTAGTTGGACTGTAAACAGTTGTCTTCTTAAGTCTTCCATATAAATATAAATTTAAAGGAGGTCAATAATCATTACGAAAACACCACTTTCGTAAGGTTGACACATCAATATATATTGTGCACACATGTAACAATGTGATAATATTTTTTTGGGGGGGGGGGGGGGGGCGGGAGGAGGGCAATCCAAAAAGGGACTGATATGTGAACATTAATATTGATAGGTCGCTTCACAAAAGGGGCATACATAGTCCTTTTTTTGTGGATAGTTTTTTGAGCAAAACACAAAATAGGTGGAAGGACGTGGTACACGTCTTTCTTCAATTTTCTGAGGGGGATCGTCCCCCATGGATAATTTGAAAAAGTGCACACCAACAAAATGTATAGCAAATACTGACTAAAGACTGCAACACGCTTTAAGGCTCTGGTGGGCCCAAGATTACAGCGTTTAGACTAATAGAAATGCTAAAATCTTCTCGCTCGGTCGCTACGCTCCTTCGCATAATATCCTAAAAATATACAAGTAAATATTGAAGAAAATATGTATTCTGTTGGTATCACGTATGTTCAAATTACACTGTATGTTAACAAGATTAAAAGTTATAGAAATAGATCAGTGTTCCAAAAATGAATATTCAGCTTGCTCTTTTAAGAAGTCCCTTCCTGCTCAGTCAAACTAAAATTTACCTAGTAAATATTTACAACCCTTCGGACTGCACACTAGATATCGGCAAAGTAAAAGTGAAGCGTGAAAAAAGTATATTGCTTGTTTTTATGCTGTAGTTTTGCTAAAGAATGTAATTTTGTAACACAACAAAACTTCAAAAACCTGTGAGGGGTTTACATATAAGACTTATCATACAGCTTTATGGGGGTAGTCCCTTCCGTCACCTCCGCCTCTTTCACTGGCGTACTGATGGGGGGGGGGGGGGGCAGTAACCCCCCCCCCCCCCAATACAATTTAAACATGGGTTATTTTTAATTTGATACCAGTGATTTACAAGTATTGCTAAAATGGCAGTATTTTTCCATGA